GGAACTCTCTTTTCTGATTTTGCAACTCCATCTCCTCAGCTGACTGCTGTTCTCAGAGGCAGCTGGGGCCATTCCAGGAAGTTCCACCAGTCCCTGTTTACCTCCAATTCTTTCAAGCCCTGGAAGAACTGAAATGTTAGGAAGGCCCAAAGCCCCTGTGGTGGCATGGTGTGTGAGAGATCCGCGGCCTTAGGATTTCCCACATAGGACCCCTGCTGTGTGTGTGCTTTGGGGCCAGCTACTGGGTTTCACGGTGCCCCGACTTCACCTATCAAATGGGAAGCACAGCATTGTTTTTTCCTGGTTGCTGTCACTCCAGTGGGCTAGTGCAGGCACTACTCAGCAGACGTGCTTGACTGCAGAGCCTATTTTCCTCCCTGGAGGGCAGGCTGCAAGCTCGATCTGGTTCCTGTGGTTAAGGGGGTAGAAGTCAAAAGTTATGTGGCTTCTAATGTATGCAGGCCTGTTAGAGACTACCTAAAGTGGTCAGCCTTTTCCTTCTGCACCACCCCTTCTCTTCCCTAGCACGAGAAAGTGAAGGAAAAGGAGGGAACAACTAGAGCCTGGAGCTACCGCCAGAAACCCAGCCAGCCTGCCCAGGCCAAGGTCTTCAGACCCCTGTCCAGGGGATCGGGTCACCCTTCTGCGTTCCCACAACACACGCCAATCCGCTCAGCAGATGCCCAGCCCTGGCTGGGGTGTTGGGGAGACAGAGCTGGACACCGCCTGCTGACTCCCGGGGCCCCGGAGGTAAAAGCCACAGGCCATCACCGCTGCACGCGCGGCCATGGCCCACAAGGCCACGCCTCGGAGCCGCCCGCTCTCACTTCACAGCTCCGCTGGAGGCCGACGGTTGGGTTCCAAATCCGCCGGCGTCCGTGGCCAAGACAGGGCAGGTCCGACGCCCGCCAAGCCGCGGAGTTGAAACGCTACCAAAGAACTAGCCTAGGCCTGGCCTCAGCCTGGAGCTGCAGGACACGCTGAGGCTTGCGGGTCTGGCCGGCGACCCAGGAGCCAAGCGCCCCGCCCAGGCCCACGCCAGGCTAAGACTTCCCTCCTGGCGGGCTGCGTCAGTGGACAGCGGGCACAGCAAGGCCTAAGAGAGCGCCCGACGCCGGGTGGCCTCCGCGCTCACTCGCAGGAGGCTGGGCCTGCAGTGCAGAGTCGGGCTCCGAGGAGGTCCGGGCATCTCCTGGAGGCTGGGGCTGGAGGGGTCGAGCAGCTCCCAGGAGCAGGTTGGAGCTCTGTACGCAAGGGCATCGCGAGTTCGGCGAGTGGGTCACCGGAACCAGTGAGGAATAGGGCGGGCGACCTGAGGTTCGAGAAGCAGGTGTCCCCAGGCCAGCAGGCGCCCGCATTTCCGTAAACAAAGAAACAACACGGCTCATCTCTGGACGGTGGGAGGCTGTTAAAAGAATCGCAGACAATTTCCTTCATAAAAATGCGATCTAAGAGCGTTTGATTTCCACTTTCACTCCCCCCAACACACGCACTGTCTCCAAAGACACTCAAATTGCAGCCATATGGGCTAAAGTAATAGGAAGCAGTTACCTTATTTACTGCAGAGGCGGCGCACTCGAACCTGGCAGCCAGCAGTCCCTGACGGCGGAGAACTGGGATTAAGAGCTGCGGGCTCTTGGCCTTTGAAATTTTGTTTACTCCTGGGAAATGCATATGGGAAAAGCAGTTATCTGACTTAGACAGAGGAAAGCCCGTGGTGTGGAGAAAAGAAGTTCGGGGAATCAGAGTCTCTGGAAAGGAGGTTCAATAAGAAAGGGGGACAGCCGGGATTCTCCTACAGTAGGTTCCTGGGACAGTGCCACTTGCTGACCCGCCTAAAAGGATGGGTTCAGACTTAACTAGACACTCACGTGCTAGCGCCCTCTGCTGGCATACGCAGGGTCTGTCCACCAAGCCAGTTCCCAGCTCCCAGTCCTGGGAGACAATAAAACCCATTTCTCAGACTGCCATCTCTCCTTTTTTGTCTTCGAAGTGTGGAGGAGTGAGGCCACCCAAACACCTGTTTTCATATTTCAACTCTGCTCCCTCTTGGGCAGTTGGCAGCAGCGCCTGCCAGGCAGGAGTGAGACACCCATCCCTAGGGAGATAGTTTTCCTTTGCAGGACTGAGCACTTCTGCTGCCACAGGAGCAAGGTTCCCTCTGACCTCAGATTATTTTGTACCCCTTATTTGCTTCTGAATAGAGTTCCATCTTTGCCATGGGCACTGCAGGAATCCTCCACGTTTGCACTTTGCAAACTCAGACACCTCCGAAGTGTTAATTTTGTTCAGAGCAAGTTCGGAAAGAATCGCTGTCAGGAATAAAGACGGGAGAAAAATGGGGCAAGAAAGCAGAAACAATCATAGAATACCCCTTCAGAGAAGGGGGCCAGTCCTGGCACCGCCAGGGCAACCTTTCCTCTTTCAAGCTTCAGGGGTTATTTAGGCAAAGAAGGAAAAATGAAGCAGAGAAAAGAAGGAAGGAAGGAAAGAAGGAAGGAAGGAAGGAAGGAAAATGAAGAGATGGAAGGAGAACAGGGAAGAACGGAGAGCTAGATTTTTCAGCGTGAAATTGAAACCGTGGACCTCTCATGCAAACCCCAGTCCATAAAGTCACCCAGCGGCTAGCATAACTCCAGGACACGGTTCCAGAAACCCTATCTGAAGGGAAACCACCACTTTTCTTGGGGCAGGCGAACTTCCCAGGACTGGGGGAGGGCGGCTGGCGAGGGGTAGGGGGATGTGGGGGGAGGTCTGGTCCCCTAGCCGCTCTGAGCTGCTCCCTCCCTCCTGCTCCAAGGTGGCCCTGCAGCCCGAAACTGTCGGCTTGGCTCGGGGTGGCCCGACAGCCATCGCCCGCGGCTGGCAGCGGATTCCAAAAGGGGGCAGGCGGGGCGAGAGCAGAGCGACCCGGGCCCAGGGCGTAGGGTGGGCTTTCTCTGGGCGGGGAAACCAGACACTTATAGGCGGCTGAGGCCGACTTTATTTTTACTGCCCAAACTGTTGGAAAGTATTTAAGCTTAAACAGAAACAGCTGTATCGCTGGCACCGGCCGACGAAACTATTTGTTACCGGGAATGACTTTTTATGATTAAGGACGCAGCCGTCGGCGGCCTCTAGCAGGCGGCGGGCGCGGGTCGTCGGGACGATGATCTGGGCGTCGTCGACGCGCTGGTTCGTTAAAAGCTGGAGAGATGGGACTGTTCACCCAGCGTCCACCTTGTAAAGTCTGGGAGAAAGGCCAAAAACTGGAACCCACGTTTCCAGGGGCGAGAAGAGGACTGGGAGAGCGGGCGGGCCCAGCGCCCTGCCTGCCCCCGGCCGGGGACCGTACGGTGCCTGCCGCGCACCTCGCTTTGGACAGGGGGCCAGCTTTCCGCTCTGGGCTCCCTGCCTTTCGAACCAGACTCCTTGGCTCTGTCTCTGTCATTGTTTTATTCCTTCTGTCCTGTCCCCTTCCTCTCTCCCGTCCCATCCCTGGCCAGGAGGAATCTGCTCTGTCAAGTTGATCATCGGTGTTTTAACTAAATCGTGGGTTCCACGGAGTGGGCGTCGTGACCTGCAACTGGGGCGATGAGAGAGGAGGGTGGGGGCTTTCTGGGCCATCACTGCGGCTGCGGTCGCCGCCGCTGCCCCCGCCACGGGTCACCGAGGGCGAAGCATGCGAAGGGTCGGCCAGGGCACGCGCATGTGAGCGGTGCGAAGCGCCCACGGCCCGACCCTCGCTCCTTCTCCGGGACCCGCCACGTTCGCGCATGAGACCCTGTGGCCGAGCGCCCATTGCACCCCGCGACCCGCCCCCAACTCCCGCGCCGTCGTTTCTCGCCGGGTGTCCGCCGCACTCGTCGGGAAGAGCCGTGACAGGAAATGCACTAGCCGGACACCGGGATCTGGAGAAAGCCAAAGGCATTCCCAGCCCTGCACCCCCAAACTAACCAAGTTCCAAGGCTCGGCTTTGATGGTCGTTCATGCCCTTAGTACACCCAGGCCGGGGCAGCGGCGACCGGAGTGGACTACGCTGGAGGGTGGGTGGCCAGGCCTGGCGGGGGCGGGCAGCGCGGACTGGGGCAAGGGCAGGTGGCCTCGGGCGTCCGGAACGGTTGGGGGCGGGAGGAGGCGCGCGATTTCTCCTGCGGGGTCCCGGGCCCCAGGAGGGTCGGGCGGGACCAGTGGGCCTGCCCCGGGTCTGCGTTCGGCTTACGAGCCGGGGGAGCGCTCGGGCCAGCTCGGCTCACAGGGCCCGCAGGGTGGGCCAGGGCAGCGCTGCGCGATAGACCCAGAGCAGGCACACTGATTTGTTAGCGGGATGGGACTAGCGACAGGAGGGGGGGCGTTGCTATGGAGACCGAGGGTCGAGTGTGCGGCTCAGGGGGAGGGAGACGGCAGCGGGGGGAGCGAAGAGGGCGCGTCGCGGGTCTTGGGGTTCGGGCGCGGCCCGCGGCGCCCCAGCACCTGTGAATTGTGCATTGTGCAGCGCGGGCGACTGGGGAGGGGACAGCGCTAGTCCCGGGCTGTGGGGGTGGGGCGGGCCAGGGTCTGCCGAGGGGGCGGGGCCTGGCTGACACCGCCGTGGGGGTCCCAGTGAGAGCACTGAGGGACGTTGAGCTCCGGAGGGACAACTTGGCGGCGGGGGAGGGGGCCCGGGCTAGGACAGAGGGCAGTCCGCCCCCCTAGCCAGCTTCTTAGACTGACAGAGCCCGGACCCGCCCTCCACGTTGCGTCACTTCCGGCGACGGCCCCCACCTCGGCGCGCGGGGTCTCTGGAGTTGTTTCGGACTCCGCCCCCTGGCGATTGGAACGCGAGTCACGTAGCAACAAGGGGGAGAAAGGGAGAGGGGCGTGGCCGAGAGCTTGTCCAATCAGCGCCGAGGGAGCAGGCCTCGGCCGCTTGGCTTTAGCAACGTCGTTAGCAACACGTGGGGCGGGAGGAAGCGCTGGGCTAGGGAGGAGGGAGAGGAGCGCAGCCGCGCGGGCGGGGGGCCGCGGGAGGGAGCGAGCGCGAGGAGGGAGGAGAACTGACGTCAGCGGGAGAGTATTATGGGCTGTCGTGCGCTGGCTGCTGCTTTTCTGCTCCTGGAAGCGGCCAAGGGGGGAAGCGGCGAGTCAACATGGAGCTTTCAGCGGTGGGGGAGCGGGTGTTCGCGGCAGAAGCCCTCCTAAAGCGGCGCATACGGAAAGTAGGTGCCTCGGGCCTCGGGCCTCGGCACCGCCGGGCCCTCCCCTCCGAGCCCGGGTTCCCTCCCCCTGCTGCAGCCCAGCTTCCCTTCCCCCAGGTCCCAGCAGCGGCCGCGGCTGTGGCGGCGGCGGCGGCTCTGAGCCCCACCACTCTCCGTATACTTGCAGCGATGCACAGATTGCATGGGTGGGGGGCGGGGTGGGGGAATGAATGCCGGTGCATGCACTTTGCAGCGTTTCGTGCAGGGGTGATGCAGCGGGCACGTGCCTTTGGCGGTGGGGTTTGGAGCATTCATTTGGTGCATGCATTTTCGCATTATTTCTTGTGTCTTCGTCATGCATTCCTCCCCGTGCACACACACACACATTTTCCCCTTTGCATCCGCAGGGACGCATGGAATACCTCGTGAAATGGAAGGGCTGGTCGCAGAAGTAAGTAGGTTGTATGCAATTCTCAACACCAGACAGTTATTTGGGAGGTTTCTTTCTTCCTCTTTTTCCTTTTACATTGCAATACAATACAAGGCAATGAGAAAAGTTACACACACACACACCCCTTGTCCTCCCTGCTCTCCTGACTAACACCCACTTTTCTTGATTCCCTTTAGGTACAGCACATGGGAGCCCGAAGAAAACATCCTAGATGCTCGTCTACTTGCAGCCTTTGAGGAAAGGTACAGACCCTTCTAAGCCCCAGCCACTTACTTGGAAGGATGCACGGGGACTTCCATGGAGCCCCACTCTCAAACACCCTTCTCTCTCTCTCTCTTTCTAGGGAACGAGAGATGGAGCTCTATGGCCCCAAAAAACGAGGACCTAAACCTAAAACCTTCCTTCTCAAGGTAGGCTGGCAGTGTCCAGTGGTGGGCAGTGACAGTATTGTCACTTCATGCAAAGGGAGATCCTGAGAGTTTGTGAACCACTGGGGTGTCCACACCCGATGCTTCTCTGTAGTTTAGGAGGGAGATCCCTGGCAGCATGTCACCAAGTCAGTGGCAGCACCAAAGAGTGTCTGAGTGAAGGGGCTTAACCACACCAGAATGGCTTTATGCTTTTCCTCATCCCTAGCCATTCCAAAAGGACGTGTAATAGAATACCTGGAGTGTGCTGGCTGTAAATGGCTGCTTCCAGACAAATCCTCTTCCCCTCCCCCAGACTGCCACCACCAAGCCCCACCTCCTCCCCACCCATATAGAACTTCCCAGGCATCAGGGTGAAGCTGGGAGGTCAAGGCTGGAGGAGGGGTGGGGGGGGCGGGGCCCTGCTTCATTCTTGACATCTCCTTCTCTGCAGGCCCAGGCCAAGGCAAAAGCCAAAACCTATGAGTTCAGAAGTGACTCTGCTCGGGGGATCAGGATCCCCTACCCAGGCCGCTCACCCCAGGACCTGGCATCTACTTCCCGGGCTCGAGAGGGCCTTCGGAACATGGGTCTGTCCCCTCCAGGGAGCAGCAGCAGCACTAGCAGCACTTGCCGAGCAGAGCCCCCGAGGGACCGGGAGAGGGACCGGGAGCGAGAGAGAGAGCGAGAGCGAGAGAGGGAACGAGAACGGAGCACCAGCCGTGTAGATGAGAAACCCAGTTCACCGGGGGACAGCTCTAAGAAACGAGGCCCCAAGCCCCGGAAGGAGCTCCTGGACCCCTCACAGAGGCCTTTGGGAGAGTCAAGCGATGGCCTCAGAGAATACCTCAAGGGCAGGAAGCTGGATGACACCCCTTCTGGGACAGGAAAGTTCCCAGCCGGCCACAGTGTAATCCAGCTGGCCCGAAGGCAGGACTCGGACCTAGTACAATGTGGTGTGACCAGCCCTAGCTCAGCGGAGGCCACAGGCAAGCTGGCTGTGGACACCTTCCCAGCCAGAGTTATAAAGCACAGAGCAGCCTTCCTGGAGGCCAAAGGCCAGGGTGCACTGGACCCTGGTGTTCCTCGAGTCCGGCATGGTTCAGGCACCCCAGGCTCTGTGGGGAGCCTGTATCGGGACATGGGGGCTCAGGGGGGAAGGCCCTCCCTCATCGCCAGGATTCCGGTGGCCAGAATCCTGGGGGACCCAGAGGAAGAGTCCTGGAGCCCCTCTCTGACTAACTTGGAGAAGGTGGTGGTCACCGACGTGACCTCAAACTTTTTGACCGTCACCATTAAGGAAAGTAACACGGACCAAGGCTTCTTTAAAGAGAAGAGATGAATTGCTGGGTGGGGGAGCCCAGCACAAGAGCAGGGGAGAGTGAGTGCAAACTTTGCATAGTGCTTTTTATTTCTGGGTGGGATGTGGTCTTCTGGCTGGTCCTGTCCCTAATTTCACAACCCCTTGGCCCTTTATTTCTCCTCCCTCTCAGTTTTGGTTGGAAAATTATCTCTAGAGTTATATTTTCTATTAGATGTAAATATGTTATTTAAGAAAAATATCTAAATATATATATATTTCAACTCTTGAAGTTGTTTTATTAAACAAGGAGAAAGAGAGACATTGAGGTTTAGTGGGGACAGTCTTGAGTTGGGACAGGAAGGGCTCCTTCCCCGAGGGCACTAGAAAGTTGGGGACCTGGGCACTGGGTTTTTAAGTGTCTAGAGGGACTCAGCCTGCCCACCTCACCCTCCCCCCTTCTCCACAGTTCCAATGCTAGACTCCTGGCACCGAAGCCGGGCCCATTTTTTTCTCTTCTCCTATTGGCCAGCCAGGCCAACAAAAGGTTGGCCTCCCAATCAGAAAAAGGGGGTGGGGTGGGGTCAGCCTAGTTTCCTTTTTTCTATTTTTTAAGATTAAGAAGTCTATTAGGGGAAAAAGTGTTAACTTGAATAACTTTTTCGCGTGTGTTGTTGAAGGTAAAAAGTCGCAGGTGGGTGGGAAGCGGTTTTCTCCCTCCCCCCAGGACCACACCAAGAAATGCACTTTACGGGAGGTGCGTGTGCTGTACACGCGAATCGTGTGTATTTGTCATGTGGATAAAAACTCCCCGTTCCCTCGATTCCTTTCCTTACTCCGCAGAGAGAAAAGAAACCCAGCGAAATCTGTTTACATTCCCGAAATGCCAGGATAAATTGGGAGGATTGCGTGTCAGTGCCCAGAGCTCCAGACAGTTGCTTTACAAGAAAAGTGTTCGGGTGGACTTTTCCTTTGCGCGTCCTTTAGCTTCGCCAGAAGAGACGGCGGCCCCACCTCCCAGGAAGACTTGGACAAGCCTCCCTCCCCTGGGGAGGGCGGGCCCCGCTCTCGGTGGGACGCACAGCCTCCCGCCACCCTGAGTGGCCCGCGGCGGGCGCAGAGAAGAGCTCTGCGCACCCAGGCCCACGCCGCGCCGGGTGTCTGGGAGGGTCAGGCCAGAGTCTCAGCCCGAGCCAGATTCGTGGCCCGGCGGCTGCGGCGTGGCGAGGGGAAGGAGGAGCGAGGTGGGGTTTTCATCCAAGAGTGCGCATCAGAACTTTTGCTTTTTTCCCCCTTTCTCCTCCCCCCCCCCGCCTTCTTAAAAGCAAAAGCTGTAATTTATAGGCCTTTTAGATTTGCGGAGTGTTCTCTATGTGAACCCGACATTCAAACTCCGCCAAAGGGGGAGGAGGAGCGCAAGTTGGGAGTGGAGGCGGTCCCGGCCTCTCTGGCCTTGCGCTGCGCGGGTCCCGCAACGCCCCCGCCCTGCCGGACTCTGGACCGCGCTGCGCGCCTAGGGCGCAGAGCACTAGTCCTTCTTTGACTCAGAAGCACAAATCTGTAACCCCCCCACCCCCCCCAAATACCTTCCAGCACCGATCTTGCAGCTTCTCCGCCCTCCCCGCCCTTAAAGGGCCAGCGAAGATCCAACTTTCAGGGCTTATCGAGGGTGGGGTGCGGGCCAGGCGCCTCGGACCAAGCACAAACTCTGGACGAGCCAGGCCGGCACTTGGAGTTGGGCTGGGGGAGCCTCGCGGTGGGGAGTGGCGGGGAGGGACCCCAGTCTTGTCCTCTTTCCGCACTCCTGGCTCCCCACCTCCAGCTTCTCGGCCTCTCTCCCCTCCAGACTTTCTTGCCTTTAGGGAGAGAGAAAAAGAGTAAAACGGTGTATTAGATGATTTGGGTTTTGACTATCATATTGCGCCTAAAGAGAAGCCCCTGGATTGGGGATTTTTATCTGCTCGCGTTTGTAAAACTGGTATTTTAGACTTTGTATAAAGAAGCGCCGTTTGCCGTGTGTCTGTTTAAATGTCGACGCTATTTTCAGATGAAACTGCATTGAAGGGGCATGTCTGTAACCGAGTGGACGGTCACTCGGGGACACGCGTCTTTACCTGGCTGCCGTCTTTCTTTCTCTTCCTTCCTCGCTCCCACCTCTCACCTCCCCAGTCGACTTTGCCTCTTCTCTCCAGCCTTCCTCTGACCCTCCCCCCTCCCCCGCCCCTGTCCTGCCATCTGTCTGTGGCGTCGTGTGTGTCTCCTTCCTCGCTCACTCTTGAGACGCTAACCTGGGGTGGGCAGGGGCCGGGAGCCACGTGGCTGGGAGCCTGCAACCGACTCCCAGCAACTTCGCGGGACCTGCGCCTATTGGGCTTACTTAATTCTCAGATTTGTACAAATCTCTCGTTGATCTCCGCCTCATCTCAAGAGTGACGCTTCGGTCCCTATCTTCTTGGGTCGTGATGTCTGTATCCAATACCGCTTTTTACGTGTTTAAATATATACTTTGTAAATAGACACGTGTCTTGGTTTTATTCTTATTTATTTTTCCCCGAGCACAGGGAAGAGGCTGCCTGGAGGGGTAGACCCATGATTCCTCTCTCCTTACCCATCCCAGACTTCACCCTTGCCCCCTCCCGCCTGAGATGGGTTCGACTCCCTGCAAAGGCCTTTTCCCAACTGGGGTAATCCCAGGGTTGGGGGCGGGGCGGGGAGTGGGCTTGGGAGGGAGCGTTGCAGGGTGACTTTACTTACTAACTGACCTCCTTTGTTTGGGACCTGGGCAGAAGTCAGGAACCCCAGAAGGATTCAGGTGACCTCAGGGTTCCCCTTTCCTCTGGTGGGGCTCCCTACCTCCTGTGCACCCCACCCATAGGCCAAATGTCGCTGGTCACCGACATCTAGGTGCTTAGCAGCCTCGCTCCCTGTCCTTCCTGGCCTGCTCCCCGATGCTGTTGTGCCCCAGACCCACGCAGCTTCCCCATCGCTCCCCGAAATGCAGAGCCTCGCGCCTATTGATTGAGGAATTGAATTCGCGGGCATTGCTAGGCAACTGCCTGCTTGGAGCCGGCGCAGAGCGCGCTGATGTGATTAGTGAACCCGGAGCCGCCGCGCCGCAGCCCCGCGCCCCCCACCCCAGTCCCCACGGTCTCTTAGTCTCTGGTCTTCTTAGCAAGCAGATACCCCAAGGCTGGCAACGGAGTACCGAAGGAGAACAGAGCGTGGGGTGCTGGAGGGGGGCGTTCATGGCTCTTAGGACCCAAGACTTTGCAACAGTGGAGGAGGGGTCGTGAAGCCTGCAAAGGAGAGCCATCCTCCGGATCCCCAAAGAGGCTATCGCGCTGAACCCAATTCCACCTCCATAGTGCCCCGTAGACGTCGCCCTGCCGGGGAGGAGTCGCAATTCCGGCGCATTCCAAGTGCCCAAAGGGAGGGGCGTAGGCTTAGTCTCATCTCCTGCCCCTTGGCTTAGTACTCCAGGGTCCCGCTGTCGGCGGTGCCCTCCTCGCCTTCTCTTCTCCAGTTCAGTGACCTGTGTGGTAGGTCCTGGGATAAAGGGAGCTGTAGGAAGCCTGAGGCCAAAGAGTGTTGAGTGTCCTTCCGACGTGAGCAGCCTGTGCAAGGAGCCAGGAGTCCCGCTGCAGTCCCGCTGCGGGGCAACGCGGGCTCTTTGCTGGGCTCTCTGGCGGACGGGAAGTATCAGGGGATCCAGAGAGCGGGGGCGAGAGGGGGGATGGCCCGGCAGCATTCTGGCTGCGGGGGTTCTGCCTCCTGCCCGCCCCGGGGGCTCCCTCGGGTGTCCTCTCCAGGTCGAGTTTAGGGAGATGGGAGGGAGCTGATCAACCCTGCCTGTTTTCCTTGTTCTCTGGCCACCACCAACGTTGGCTTTGACTAGACGCTTCTTCCGTGGGCTTCTCTTTCTTAGACAGATTCTCCCAGAAAGCGAAGGCCAGGTGTGGGGGCCTTTGGCCAGCCTGGCCGGTTCCCGTGCAACCAGAGGGCAGGGCCTGGCTGAGCTTGGCCCAACATAAACACTGATTGAATGGAATATTTAAGGCTCTTGGCAGAGTCGTGGATGGGGTCCGTTTTCTGTCCCTTTGATGCTCACAACGCATCGTGGAGGCCCTGCACTGTGCGCAGTAGGCTGGCGGCATGCCTAGCTGTCCTATATCTCAGTGGGCGCACCCTCATGCTTTCCTCTTCCCACTAAAAAGTCCTCCAGGCCCCAAAGTGTCTCAGACCCAGCTGGAGCCCGGCGAGGTTCCAAGACGGCCAGGGTCGAAGGCAACTGTCTTTGGAGAGGGTGTGAGCTGGGATCTGGGCTTTCCTCCTGACACTTCAGAGACCGAGGTGACTGGGGGATGCTCCGAACGAGCCGGGTACAGGCGGTGCAATTGAGTTTCAGCAGCCTGAAAGCGCGAGTGGGGACTGTCCCCTACCGCTCCAAAGCGCCGGCCGCCCGAACTTCGTGAGCCGCGCGCGCCCTCTAGAGGCGACGGCCCCAGCCACTGTCCCAGGCGCCACCCCTCCCCCCAGAGAGGCTGCGCCTCGGGTTCCCTGCAGGAGCCGAGAAAGCCTTATCTCCTGCCACCCAAAGGCACCGCTGGGCTCTCCTCACCGAGAGCCCTCTCTGCGTCCTTCCTGAGGCCTGGCCCTCGAGCCACGAGGGTGCAGGGAGGACAGGAGTGTCCAGCCGTTCGGCTGTCCGGATCCTCTCCTCTGAGCCCCGCTGCACCAATCGCGCCCCGGGCTCTCGTGGGTAGATCGGAGGGGTACAGAGCGGGGTTCCTTGGGCGGGTCAGGCCCTTTGCAGCTCACTGCATTCTTCCGGGAAGGGGCGGTGGATTAGGCGATCAGATCAGCTGCACAGAAACTAACAAAGGCTCCCAGTGGTCTGGTCCCCAGTCCCTGTGGGCATGGTCTCTGGGGAAAGGCTGGTTGGCCACAGAGGCCAGCGCCAGTTCCTGCTCAGCGGGGTTCCTCTTTCCTGGAGTCCACAAACCATTTCTGCAGCTCTTAAAAGGCAGAGACAGGACGCTGTGTTCCACCCTGCCCACCTTCTCCAAAACAAAACAGCCTGGAAGGCAACAAAAGAACACACCAGCAGCCAGCTCTGCAAGAACCCATGTAGACAGGAGGGGGGTGCTATCTGCAGTGGGGACTTCTCCTGAACTGGAACATTCAGACCATGGTCTCAAGCAGCCGCGCAGCCAGGGGTCAACGTCCAGGCCCAAGTTCTCTCTTCACTTCAAAGGAAGCTCCATTCTCCTTGGAGCTGAATTTTCATGAATAAATTCATTTGAGGGTGATGCGAACCTTAAGGACCACGGAAGCAAACCATTCCCTTTATTATGAGACACGGGTTAGGGGATGAAGTAGCGGAAGTCAAGACTCCTTGCTTTCCGCAGTGACTTCCTGGAATTTCTTAGCTGGGTTTTTAAAGTGTTGCAAGGAGCCCGGTAGCTTTCCAACATGGTATCTTTGGATACTGCGGGGGTGAGAATATTTTGCTTTCTTTTGACTTTGCTTCTCACAGTGAAGTGAGCTTCACTGTGTATTGCAGCAGTCCTGTCTTCCTCCCGCTGGTGCAAGTAGCCCTTCGCCTCTCTAAGTGTTTTCCTAAGGCTAGGGTTTCTCAGACTTAGCACCAGCACTCTGGAAAGGATCACTTTTGCAGTGGGGCTGTCCTGTGCATCCTAGGGTTTCTCAGTATCCCTGGGAATGCAATGCTAGGGATACCGGTATTACACCTTCCCCCAGGGCGACACTGCCAGACCAGATGCCCGCAGGGATATCCCGATTGTGGGCTGCTGGTACAGGACTCACTCTTAAGCCCCACCACCTGCTTCCAGGGCCATCTTTCCTCAACGAAAGTGGCTAAGCCTTTTCCAAATCTGACATGGACTATTCAGTCTACGTTCAGACGAGTGTTTTGCCCCCAAGGCGGGGAAAATGAAGAGTATTTTGTCTCAGGCATCAGTCATGACGCACAACAGGTCAAAAAGTTTGAAAAAATATTTATTGATATACTAAGAGTTAACAAAGACAAGCACCTTCTGACGTTATTTACTAATGTCTTTTCCCTGCCAAATAAACCAACATTGGTCTAAAGCACTCTGCAACCTATGCTAGTGTTAAGTTTCCTACAAACACCAGAAAACTCCAGGTCTATGAAATTCATTTGGGTAACAATCTGGTTATACAGGCCACCACCTCTTCCTTATTCCAGACCCTTTCCCAAACCACTATGGGCTTCCTGGAGGAGGCATTTCCTTGAACTGGCTGGTCCTGATTAATTATGGGGGCTGGGCTGTCCTGATTCAACAGAATTCCTAAGTTTTTCCAGGGTAATGACATAGTCTTGTTCACTAAGCAGGCAAACAGCCAGAGGTTAAAACAGTTGGAAGTGGCATACATGAATGATACAGATTTCCTAAATTAAAAAACACAAATTGATTGGCGTTATTTCAAAGCTCTGGTCGGCCATTCCCCTCTCCCCCAAGTTTTCTCCTGATGAAACCTCAGGCCCAGAGCTCTCTAGTGGGGTCAGAATTTGGAGTGCAACTCAAACAAGGAATACTCTTTTTGGTACCAAAAATACATACAAAAATACGTCAAGACTTCTAAGCAAGACAAGCTAGCCACTTCTTCCTACCCAGTACAGAACAGACAAACAAGATGGGGTTATGATGCCCATTCAGCACACTCACCTGGAACCCTTGGAAAGAATGAAGCTCAAGTCAAGCTATGCCCGATGCTTAGCTATATATACACACATAGCAGCAAATAAAAATATAAAAAGGACTGTTTTATTTATTGGTAAACATAGAACTCTGAGCATTGGTGCAATTGCCCAGCGGGGGCTCTCATCTGCACACACGCTCTTTGTAACATGAACCGCTGGGTCACAAGCACCTGAAGAAAACACACAACACAGGGAGAAGGCAAAGTGGCTGGGAGTTAAGTTTGCAGACTTAAACTTTGGGATTGAAGTAGCTGGGAAAAAGGCACCAAATCAGGGTTTGGGGAGACCTGGCAGCTGGGGGGGACAGGACTGGTCAACCCAGAACCCAGGGGCAAACATCCTCACTTCTCCAACAGCTCAGAGGACCCCAGGGTCTCCCTACAAGCTTAGTGGAACCTCAAAGGCAGTGTGGTGCCTGGCAGGAAAGCTGCAAAATGAAGAGGCTGCCAGTCCCTCTGAGAGGGGGGCAGTGAGGGGCTCTGGCTGTCTGGGAACAGGAGCCACACAGCAGCTTCCCCTTGCTACCTACTTCCCCGCCCTCCAGCCTGCAGGGTGGGCACTTGCTACTGCAGGCATCACAGCCTCCTTCTGTGAAAACAGGTCCTTCTCCAAAGGCACACTGTTGAAGTCAGTTTGGCCATACAAAGGCCATTTCTTCCTATTTGGTGTGTGGGGTGAGGCACTGGAGGCCCTATAGCCTGGCAGGCCCCTAGACACCAGAGACCACTCGGCCAGGGCTGGTCTTGCAAGGCACAGCTCATCCCTGCAAGGCAACTGGAGTCCAGTCCCACATCTATCACTGCTCGACAGCTTGAGCAGAAAGAAGCTTCCAACCCCCTTCCTCATTTTTGGCATCACAGAAACCCACTGACCAGACTGCTGGTCATTGCTGTCTGCTTGCCCCAAGCTGATGTCTCAGGACAGAAAACCTGATACTGGCCAGAAATATGAATGTGTAGCTCCAAGACTCAGCCACTTGGGGTGCAGAAGCAGGGAGAAGGCAGCAGGAAAGGGGCTCAGAACTTGGGAGTAACTAGAATGGCTGCTCAAACTTTGTCCTATATCCTCAACAACACAGGGATATTGCTTCTCAGCTGTTAGGGAGAACAAGGAACCCCCAAAGGTGGGGGGATTGTCAGGGAAAATGGCACCCCAAAAATGGCCCACCCAGGCAGGGTGGGGCCTGCAGTTAACACCTGCATGATCACCCTCTGGGCTGGTGGGCAGCTTGTGGGACGACCCTAAGAATGTGGGCTGTTCCTTGCTACCAGAAAACAGGGATCAACCTACTAATGGCCTGTCAAACTCATCCCCACTTTTGGCCTGCCCCAAGCCCAGCAGCTTCAGTCCTCAAAACTGGGGTGCACTCTAGTGGCCCTGGGCAAGGGTGTACATCTGGGTTTGGAAGGGAACAGGATCACTTACTCCTTGGGCTCAGGCCCATGGGAAGGAGGCAGCAGTGACATTTGGCTTCTCCTGCTCACACACCTGAGAGCTGGAACCAGCCCCTCCACCAGGATGAGGCTGGAGATGTACTGAACCAGAGCTAGACAGTACTGCAGCCACCTGTGTATGGCTCACGCCAGGCTGCTGAAACCGTCCTTTTACCCCAAGCCCCAGACTAAGCTGTGAGGAACCGAGTCCTGCCTCTCGCCCGTGAAGCCCCAACGCTGCCCTGAGAGGGAGGGTTCTGCCTGCTCTCCCCTCATCTTTCCCTCTGAGAGGGGAACTAGTTGCCTAGAAGCCGCTCTTCTGACACAGCCCCTAGCAATAGGAGCAGGGTGGAGTTGGGTCTCACTAGACCTGGAAGGGTGACTCAAGCAATCTGTGCTGAGGGAAGTTACTGTCCAGCAGGCGCCTAAGCCAGTGGCCACCAGACTTCCTGAGGTGACAGGGGAGGGCAAAGTAGAGACCTCAAGAGGTAGGATCACCAGGGAAGGCTAGCCCCAGCACAGTACAGAGACAGCTCCCTGCCCTAGGTCCCAGGACAGGGTGGGGTCTGGGTTACAGGTCACATATTCAAACAAAACCAGAAACTGGAAGGCAGGTCAGACTAGCCACGGGGGGGGGGGGGGTTGCCAGTCTCAGTAATGTCTCAGGTTGAAGAAGCCCACGCTGGTGGGGGACTCCTTCACTGTGACAGTGATGAGGTTGGCTGTGACATCAGTGACAAAGACATGCTCGATAAGGCTTCGGGTGGGTTTCCAGTCGTGGCTGGTCTGAACAGACACGGACAGGTTCTGTCCAGCGCCTGGCAGTGAGGATGAGTCAGGGTCCGAGTCAGAGCTGCTGTTCTCCTCACCGGTGCTCATTTCAGACAGTGCAGCAGCCTTGCGGACTTCTGGGGCCGCAGCATGGCCGTCCTGCCCACTGGGGGCGACACTGCCCTTGACACTGTCCCTCTTACCCGAAGGGATGGGAAGAGCTGCCGCCCTGGAGGCCAGTTTCTCACCTTTGCTGGTGTCTGTGGGCATGCCGGCCCCACTCACCCCCGTGGGGCCACCCCCAATGCCCTTCCCTGCAGCTGGGCTGGTGGCAGGGACAGCCTTGGTGGCTGTGGCATGGTGAGCAAGCAGACCCACCCCAGGCATGCCGTTCTTAACGCTCTGTAAGTCCAAGACCTGCAGGCTCAGCTCCTGGGTAGGTGCTGGCTGGGAGCCCAGGCACCTGGCAGGGGCCTTGCTGCTGCTGTGGGGGGGCCCCCCTGTGCTGTTCCCTTTCTGCTCTGCAGCCCCGCTGCCAGGGGCCTTTGGGACTTTGCTTCCTGGGGGGCTGACCCCCAGCTCCCCTTTCTGCGTCCTCACCTTGAGGTCCAGCCCGAGGCCACACTTGCTGGCAGCCTGGGCCTTCAGTGCCAGTCTGCTGGCGGCCTGGGCCTGACTCTGGCTCATCCGATTCATGTAGTGCACAATGGAGCTCTGCCAGCTGATGCCACTGCGGTTGGGGCTGCCAGCCATGCCCTTCATCAGACTGGCCAGGTTCTCCGGTGTTGCCATGTTGCTGGGACCCCCACAGGCCTCTTTGGCGTGGGCCTTCAGGGCTGCTAGGCCTGCCACAGGGGCACTGAGTGGAGGGGGTAGCTTGCTGGCTGGGGCCCCGAGATCCTTCCTGGCGGTCTTCAGCACCTTGGTCAGGCTCACAGGTCTCCGGGTTGCCTTCTGGTCTGGGGGCAGGGGCTTGCGGCCCCGCTTCTTACGAACGGGATCCTTAAGCTCAGGCTTGGCCACCAGGATCTGAGCTTTCTTCTGAGGCACCGGGTGGGTCTCGCGGCCTCGAGGGCCCCTCTTGGCATCTAAGTCGCTGTCATCTTCTTCGTCTGAGGAAGAGGAGGAAGACGTGGAAGAAGAGGAGGAGCTACTAGATTTGGATCTAGAGGGAGCGTCAGGTTCCTGAAAAGACAAGGGGGACGACATCAACCTCTGCCGCCTGGTCCCTGGTCCCTGGTCCGGGCCTCGGCCCTGTGTGCTTCCCCAAGCAGCCTCAGGTGAGCACTTTGAGGCTGCAGCTGCTGGACTTCTTTCTACACAAGAGTCAGCCAGGGAGGAAGAACTCACCATTTTCTTCCAGAAAGGATTTCACAAGACCTTAAAGATTCTGTGCCATACAAGACTAAAGGTAAAGTAGAAAGCACAAAGCCTGAGTGAAAGCACACTGGTCATACTCCTGCACTCTCAGGTTTCTGGGGGACAATTTGGCTCCAGGCTGCCTGGTACAGAACTGGTGAAGGGAGCTGTGTCCAGAACACAAGTCACATGTCTCATGGGGTTGAGGAGTGCAGCACTTTGTTCTCAGAACCAAGTGGATCTTGCTTTAATCTCCCTGGTCCCAAATCCAATTTCCCCACGTCTTCCAGCACCCAGCTAAACAGACCACAGTGTCTTTCTCTGAGCATCACCCCAAGTACTAAATAGTGCTGCCTGTTGGACCAGAATCTGGCAAGATGGCTTCAGGGCGACTGAGCCAACACTGGTTTCCTGTGGCACCGCTCTCTTGATTCAAATAGGGGCTGATCCTGTCAAACCAAGAGGGCCCCAGGCCTCCTTGGCAGGTACACCAGCCCAGCCACCCCACAAAAGTCCCTTCTCTCAGTTAGCAGGACTTCTGCAGCCTGCATCATCTGCAGGACAGGAAGACTATAAAGATAGGTGAAGTGAGGGTAGACCAGACAACAGGATTCTTAGGAAATTCACCCCTCCTAGAAGGGCCATCTTTGGAATGACTGAGCTTGTGGCCACAGCCTGCCAGGTGCAGGGACTGTGTCCAAGTTTCCTTCCCCACCTTGTTTCTGATCTGTCACAGGAGAGGTGATGCCAACAACACTAGGATATGTAACAAATACATACATATATGTGTATATATACCCGTGGGTGCAGGGAAGCCCACCTCACTGGCCATCATCGCAGTGGGGAGGGACAACAGGTCATCCTTGAGAAGGCCATGGCATCACTGCCCCTCACCCCCCAGTCTCCTGGCTGCTCAGTCAACCCTGCAGGGCCTGGCCACCTCTATTTAAATGCACTCAAGAGCTGGATCTGAAGCAGCAGCACAGCTAGCTACCTTGTTGACTCACATCTACGAGATACATTTATGAGCACCTACTGTATACACATTTCCTGTTCTTTTCTGATCCCCAATAAGTCCTTTGGGGGGGAGTGCAGAATGGACAGCACTTGAACAGGAAGCAGCTTGGGGGGCTCCTGGGGTGAAAGGAGGGGCTGGCAGAGGCCTAGAGAGGTAGCACAGATGGAGGCCCATCCCCACCATTCCCCAGTTCTCAAACCTCTCCCCTGGAGCAGTGTGGGAAGGAAAGTAGCCCAATGGAACGAGCACACAGGCCTGCAGTCACCCACCTTGAGCTTGGAGCGCCTGCTGCAGGATGACATCACCGTGTGCTTCCTTGGCCTGCCCCTTGGCCTCTTGCCTCTCTTCCGGTTCTGCACCTCCTTGTCATGTTCCCTGAAGACGTATCACTCATCAGCATGGAGAAGCCCTGTGTGCAGCCCCCTATGGCTTCAAATACCCCCACACAACTCCCATGGGCCGCCCTGCTAACGTGCTCTGCAGCAGCTCACCCTCAGTTTTGCTGCAAAAAGCACACCCTGTCAATCAAATACCCATGGCAGAGGTCCAGACCTCATTCTTTGCAATACAGGTCAGTGTTATTTTTACAGCTATCCCATGTTTGGCTAAACACAAGTGGGAGGCAGGAAAAGCAAAGCTGGCATAGACTCAGCTCTAGTTTCCTCTTAACACAACTTTCTGTAGGTGCAATGTTTTTTTGAAAATTCCAGCATGGCTAACCAAAGTGGCTTTTGGGGTCGTTCGTTTCAACAGGAAGAAACCAGGGAAGGGAGCCCACAAGGAATGCTGCTTAGCACCTGCCCAAGCGCAGGAAAACCCTCACCTAGTCCACTGGCCAGAGGCACCCAGAGTTCCCTCAGTCCCACTTCAGCCTGCCAGGCTCTGAAGCCTGCTGGCATCCCCTGGTTTCCTCTAACACCTCTCTGTTCCTGAACGCTGCTCTTGATGGAAGAAATGCAAGCGCCCAACTCTCAAGCAGCAGGGGCTCAAAGCCACGTGCCGAGTACTGAAGGAAGGTAGTATTTCATGCTACCTCCTCACCACCACGCCCGTGTTATGTCTAAAAGAGTCCCAGTACTAAAACAGGCAAGCATCACCTCTTTGGGGCCTGCAAGGTGATCTCTTTAAGGTTATCAGTACCATCCCTAGGCAAAGCTCCAAAGTGGTCTCAACTCCCACCCTCCTAAAAGATAATGGGTGTCACACAAGAGCCTGTGCCCACAAAACTGCGAATCTACCGATCCCCTTACATGCAAAAACCAACCCCCTACCAACACCACAAGCAAGTCAGTGGCAGCTCCCAGGATCCAGAGGGATGTCCTTTCGGTGGATGGGAAGCAGCACAGCATCTGGTTTTCTTTTTCCTGTGATATAATTCAGACCATCCCATGGTGGTACCTCTTGGCTATTTCAGCTCGCATCAGCTCTAATCAAAAGCTAGATCAAGGACAAGCTTTTTTTTTGGAGACAGGGTCCTGCTAAGTTGCCCAGGCTGGTTCCAACTCCTCAGCTCAAGTGGTCCTCATGCTTCAGCTTCCCCAGTAGCTGGGACTATAGATATGCACTAGTATACCATCTTTCGGCGGTACTGGGGGTTGATCTGAGGGCCGCTCACTTGCTACGCAAGTGCTCTACTACTTGAGCCAAGCCCCCAGCCCTCCAAAGACACCCCCTTAAATCAAAGAAATGTATCAGTCCTCAGGAGTGTGCCAAGCTCCCTGCACCCCCACGCTTACAGGCCCAAGTCATGAATTAGAAGCCAATAAGTGAACATAGTTTGGGCTACCTGAAAATAAGCCTGCCAGACCAACCCCAGCAGGGAAGGCTTCTGAGCAACCCTTTCATCCGCGCCCGTCCACGGGGCTGGCTTCCTCAAAGGGGAAGGTGCTGGTCCTACCACCCACATCTTGCTTTGCTCATGGACTTCACATACATTGCTCACCACCCTTTTCCCTGTAACACCTCATAGAGGCCTTTTAACCCAGGTCTCCCACCTAAAAGAAGAAATGACACGCAGACGAAAACACAGCCTGAGTCTGGCAGCCCAGAGCAAAAGGAAGGTGCTGTTCAGGACATAATAGACATCATTTCATACTGTACGGTCTGGCCCTTCTCCAAGGCTTCTCTGGCTGCATGGCACACTCAGGCAGAGGCAGTACGGGCCTTTTTATGGCAGGCCAGTGACTCGCCAAGACAAGCCAAAACTGCTGCAAAAAGGAACGAATGCCGAAGTTTCTTTTTTCTAATTCTAAGTCTGGCTGTCAGGAAGACCAGAGCCACCCTTACTGGGGACTCCTGAGGTATGGACACAGAGCTGGCCAGGGGAAGGTGGGAGAGGGACTAACTGGGGGCCTCAAAGCTAACTGCTTTTACAGACAGCACCACCTTTATAGACAGCCCTAGAGGTGGTAGAGGACCTGATGGTAGAGGCGCCCGAGGACAGTCTTGCTATGAGACCTCAGATGCCGGAAGCTACCGGCACCATGCAACCAACCACTGTCCCTCAATTCTCCCAACTCATGTGTGCTGTTAACTTTCTCACTTCTTCTGGAAGGCCAGGAGCAGCCTCGGGTCCAGGATGTTCTCCTCTGGCTCCCAGCTGTTATGTCTGGAAAAGTAAGAACAGAGCCTGGTGAGACACCAGGTTCTGACAACAGCCCATGGGTCACCCTGACAGCTCCTCCAGCTCCTCAGGGGGGCAAGAAAGCCCAGACCCAGTCCCCAGAGGCCCTTAAAACCAACAAGAGCCCAAAGGGAAACTGCCACCTCAAGTCCCCAATTAAAACAGGCCACAAGAGGACGCACAGTCTGCACCCGCCGCCCGCATGGGAGGGAAGCAAATCCCAATAAAACGCAGAAGTTGCAGAAGGGAATCCCCCAAACCCTGGCCCGGAGCCAGGGAGGGAAGGGAAGGCAGGTCCAGGACGCAAAGGGGGAGGGGGGCAAGGGGCGCAGACGCAGCCCACAGACTCAGAACAATGTGGCTGGCGCCCCCGCGAGCACAGGGGCTGCAGGGGGAGCACAAAAAGGGGGTGGGGTCCAGGAAGAAAGAAAGAGGGTGCGGAACTGCTGCGGAGGGAGCCCCTTCCGGGGGAGGCCAAGTCCCCTCCTCCCCATTAAAAGAAAGAAAGAAAGAAAAAAAAAAAAAGGGCCCTACAATCCTCAATAGGAAGCTCAGGTTACAGCGGGGTAAGTACGGACAAGTAGAGGGGGGCTTGCGTCTCGCGCCAGCCGCGGGCGCATGCAACAAATGGGCGCGGGAGTCGCGCGCGACGCGGGGGCGGCGGGACCGTGGGCCGGGCCGGAGCGTGGGGGGATCCGAGGCTGGAGACCACCCAGCTCCGCTCCCCGCGGGCTCGTAAACAAAGGGCAGCCCCGGGTCGGGCCGGCGCCCCCCGCCCGCAGTGAGCGTGGCGACTCAGCGAACTTCCCGTCCTGACCGCGCACACCCCGGAGCCCGCGAGGGTCCCCACGCCGCCCCCACCGCAGCGAGAGGCGCGCGCGGGAAAGCGGGCCCGCCTCGTAGACTCACTTGGAGGACCAGCCGCGCCACTTGACCAGGTACTCCAGCTTGCCCTGCGGGGAGAGAAGAGCGGGCGGTGAGCCGCGCGGCGGGGCGCCCCGGGAGCGGCGGCGGCGGGCGGGGACGCACGCACCTTGCGGAGCCGCTTGCTCAGGATGCACTCGGCGGCGAAGACCTGCTCGCCCACGCTGCTCAGCTCCTCCATGCCGCCGCCCGCCCGCGGCCCGCGCCCCGCGCCCCGCGCCCGCCGCCGCGCGCCCGCCGTACACAAAGCGCCGCCCCGCCGCGCCCCGCCCCGCGCACGCGCGCCGCCCGCCCCGCGCTGCCCAAACCCGCCGGGCCAATGGGCGCGCGGGGCCGGGCGCGCATTGTTCGCGGCGGCTGCGCCCGGCCCGGGCCGGGGTCTGCGGGGCCTCCGGGAGGGACGTTTCGTGTGCGCGGAGCGGGGGCACCGCTGGCCGCGGATCTGCACGTCACCCCGTGTCCCGCCCGGCCCCGGCGCGCCCGCCTTCCTCCCAAGTCTTCCCGACCGAAAGCCATTGTTCGGCCCGAGGGGAGGGAAGCGGGGCGCGCGCGGCGCTTCCTGCCACCACCGTCTAGGGGCGCTGCTCGGGCGCGGCCCCACCCGCCCCCCGACTTTGAACTGGGTTTCTCTGAGTCAGGAGGATTCCGCCCTGTGTTGCACGAGAGCAAAATGGGCCGCTCCGGGGAGCGTCTGGGGGGAGGATGGGGAGAGTACCAGGTGTGTGTGGGGGGGGACGGGCAGCCAGGCCCTCCTCTAAAAGGCCAGAGGAAAACGCCAGCCACTTGGGGGAGAAGCCAGGAACTGTTCCAAGTCTTAATAATGGCTGTAAAAGAGGGACGCAAACCTCCAAGTTTTAGGGCACATGTCGGAGACAAGCAACCGCCCTTCGTTGCTTTCAGGATTTTGGTTACGTGAACGTGGGCGGGAGGGGTGGTTTGGAGAGCTGGGTGTGACTTGGGACTCGGTCACTCACAGTCCGCCAGGGTTGGCCGGCAGAGTCCTTTGGATCAATTGCCCGCGGTAAAAAAAGACACCAGAAGGTGGTTGGAAGCAGGGGGTGGGGGTGGGGGTGAGGGTGGCCCAGGTCCTCCCTGGTCCTCCGTGGTCACGGTGTTCAGGCTCCCCTGGCTTCGATTTCCTTTATTTTCCCGCTAAAACACGAATTCCGTTGAGCAACCCTCCCTCTTTCAAGCTAATTTGCATTTTGATTCTGAGCGAGTCAAGCACAGAACGAAGGAGGTATACATTAACCCTAGCTTTATTTGCAGTTCAGACACTGGAAATTCATTTTCTGGTTTTGTTTCTCTCGTGAACGCAGCTGGAAAGAACTCTTGCTGAGCAAATCAAAGAGCCGGTTCTTGTCAGGAGCCCGTCTCCATATAATCGTGGCCATTGAAGGCAGACTTATGAAGGATTCTGGGAGAGAAATGTATTTTTTGGTTTTAACAGAAAGGCCTACTGTAGAAAGCCGTCTTGCAATTTATTGGTGTTCTTCAGTTTTTTTTTTTTTTTTTTTTTTTTGCTTAAATGGGTTCCGTTCATTTGGTGTTGTAGAGAGAACTTGCAAACTCAGCTGTTTGCAAAGGAGGGAAAAGGAAAATTTCCTAGACAGTGGCGATTGCTCACTTACGGGGCTGTAGCGGACAATCCTTGTTTTGGGATAAAATAGGCTTGAGGAGAGCCGCCTGCCGTCTCCCAGCTCTTTATGTCTGTTTTGTGCAGCAAGGCAGTAAACTGTCAGCAGGGCAAAAGTACATTTATTGTAACTCTACAAATAGCTGGGACCATCTCAACCCATGTTTCATTGCAGGATTTGTATTGTGCATAAGATGTAGCACTGGAATTGTCCAGTTTCCTTGTTGATACTTACTTTTAAGAACAAAAAGCTTTTAAAAAGGAAATTCTTCTACTAAGAAACAGTCTAGAATCTGATACTAACACATTGAAAAAAAATCAATTTCCTGGAAGGCTTACCAAATATGTCATCTATCTAACTTGGAATGCCCAGTTGGGGAAAATTATATTTAGGTAATTCATTTGGAGAAACAAATCAGACAGACTTGACTAGACTGAAGCCATCGGCTCAACGTGGTGAAGATATGATCCAAAATTTGGGAAGTGTTCCTTAAATGTTGTGCCAGGAGTAGGCAGAAGGGAGGAAGGCACCCCAGCTAATTGTCATGTCAAATATGTGAACTGAAACATTTTGTCTTCCGCTTCTCACTCCCATGGTAAGAATTAGTAGGATAAATTAGAACTAATTCCTCTATTATTCATTCAACAAATGGTCACTGAGCATTATTCTCTACCATGTAGGTACTGTTAGATATGGGTGTAAGTTCACAGCAGGTCTGCCTGGTGGGACTTGTATATGCGCTGGACACGCCCGAATTCAGGCTGTCCTACACGGTAGCTTTTGGTCATCTGCGCTACTGAGGAATTAAGTTTTAAATTTAAGCAATTTAAATTTAAATAGCCACTGGAGGTTTATGGTCACTAGAGGATAGGTGACACAGGTCCATAGGAATACAAAGAGATGTACTTTAAGGATATTTTTAAGTGAAGGTAGTCCAGTTCTGTAAGTTAATTCTGGAGCATGAGCAATTTGCCTGCACTCACATTTATGCTTAAAGATAGATCGGGATATTTAAAACACGTGTAAAAAAAAAAGGGATAGAACTATGAGCACGAAGGAGTCTATTTAGAGAGTAAACACTTGGGCTAGTCCACTTTTGGGACAAGTAACAGTGTGGACGAGTCTTCAGTTAGTAATGACCGATGCTGCTAACGAAGGGTAAGTGTTGTCCTGGAGGCTTGACTGGAAATCCGAGATTCTGAAGGAAGGAACCATATGCTTGTGTCATTCTGAAGTCAGTGGAAAAGCCAGGAATTGAGACGGAAGCCAGGGACCCTGGATTTGGCAGTTAAAACCAGATCACATCAGAAAAAGCTTACAAAACCGTTTCACGGCTACTTAGTTTATCTAAAAATACACTGCCTTGCTGTTGCCATCCAGGAACGCTGACTGAAAAGAGTAACCTGGCCCTGCCTGTGACGGGTCTGTACGGGTTTCGCTCAGGATCTAAGACACGTATCACAGTATTTAATATTTACAGTGATAACTGGTCCTCCTCCTCCCCTCCATTTTTGCAAGACTGAAGGTCTGCCGGCTGTCTGTACATGTGGTGTCGTTTCTGTGTATGTGATGGATAAATACACGAGCTTGACACCCAGGGTTTGCGTGTCACAACTCAAGTGAAAATAAGCGCAGTTGGAGTCAGGATGCTTGCTGAAGTTCACATGCTTGCTTTCAGGTTGCCTAAGCTCCCCCCTGGGCACACAATGCAATTATTGATCCCTGGGTTGCACCCTGAGATTCTGAGCCAAGACACCCCGGGGACAGTCTGCAGCTGTCACTGTTTAGGACATTTCCTGTCCAAGCCCTCATTTTACAGATGACGAAAAGGAATCCACAATTGCTTCCTATACGGGACTGTTTAACCTGGTCCTGTCTTTTTTCATCTCCTGGTCCTATCCAGCTGCCCCTGGCTGCCTGGTCCATTTTAACATTCTAAAGACCTGCCCAAATGGGAGCCCCCCGGATCCTGGGGTAGGGGAAGTGAAGGTACATAGTTATAAAAGATGAGAAGTACACAGGTGACCCCTTAGTGACATTGCTTTGGAGACAGATGGCAACCCCCATGGGAGGTCTGCATTGCTCAGGGGTTTTATTTCAGAGGGTGCTGTTTGTTAGTCTGGCAATCAGACCGGACTCTCCTTCCACTTTCTTGCTATTAAAATAGCGCCAGGCTGAACTTCTTTATCTTTGTATGTACAGAGTGCTTGCACAGCTACAGAATAGCGAGCAGAGGTGCTGAATTAAAGGGTGTGCGGATCTACTTCTGTGTGCATTGTTTCTGAACTGGCTCATACCCCAGCTTCTGTCCCCCAGCCCAGCAACTCTGGCTCTTAAGTCCATCCAGGGGATTTCTGCACACACTTCCTGCTTGGCCAGTGGAGTGGGCTAACACAACCTAATTCCAGTGCCCGCGCATCTCACATTTGCTTTTCCTCAAGACCTGTGCCTAGCTCAGAATTGTCACAGTGTAAGATGGTTTTGTGGGTGCCGTTTTCCAATGAAAAAGACATTGTTTTAAATTAACTTACAGTTATGAAGGTCTCAAATCTTGGAAGTCCTTATTTAAAAACAAATGACTAGTTTAGGGACTCACAGAGGAGTTTGGTAACTGTCCGGTGATGGCGGAGGTGGTCTCCACGTTCATGGTCAACGCACCCTTGGAATTCTGAGAGATGGATTTGAGAACCGGGGTCCATACACCTTTCTGAATCAAACCCATGTTCTGTTTCACCCCCTTCATCAGCTGGGTTATTTCTTATTTGAAAGAACTCAGAGATGTGATTCAGGTCACACGCACATACCAACTGATCTTCAGCCTTGCTGCTTCTTGATAGGAGAATGAAGAATTAATTCCTACTGAAATGGAGACCCTCTGTTTCCCTGCTTCTGGCAAGACTTGCTTGAGACCAGAGAATTGCATTTTGGAACCAGGCACATTTAGAACCACAAGGAACCATGAAAATCCCATTTTGTAGGGAGGGAGGACAGGGTGAATCACAGAGTGTCCAGGTTGGCTGGGCAAGTGAGGATATGAACCTGGTCCCCCACTGTGCAGGGCAGTCTCTGGCCAGCCAGCCTCTCACCCCGTCCCCTCTGAGCTCTGCTTCTCCACCACCATCAGCCCAGGTGGCTGTCACGTTAGCCAGGGTGGGGCATGCCTGGTGCCAAATTTGAAGGATTCAGAGGGACGTGGATTGGCAAATGTCCCACCCTCTTCCCAGCAATCTAGCTCACCACCCTGGGGGCAGCCAATGCTGTTGGGTTTCTTCTGGAACTGTGCCTGCCCTTGCTGGGACCAGGGGACATTTTCTCAGCATGGCCTTCCCGCTTGCTTCTTTTCATCCCACAGATGGCAGCTCGCTGTGTACAACTCCGCGCCCTGCTTCCCTGCTTTCTCCTTAAGCACTGTGCCGGAGGTCATGGCCCACCAAATGGATGGGCTGCCCTCCACCCTTTGAACCTTTCAACATAATTGTTCAGGGTCAGCTGCACCATCGTTTCTGTAACTGGACCCGGGTTGACAGAGGGTGAGCTGTTTCCAAGGTCTAGCTCAT